AACCAAGCATGATAAAAAAAAAAAAATCCGTTTTTACGCATGTGGAACTAGAGGTGGCGCAGGCGGGAAAGGTCCGAACTTGGGATGGTGAAAGTATTTTGGCGGGATTTTCGGGAAAGGCGGGCAAGGCTTCTTCGTGATTGGTGGGATTGGATATAAGTGAATTGGTGGTGGCAATGGCTTAACAATGATTGGTGGCTTATAAACCGGTGGCTTGTAAGTCGGTGAATTTCCCACCGGTGACTTTCCCACTGGCGGCTTGTAAACCGGTGGCTTATAAATCGAAGGCTTTGGTTTGGTAGGTGGGCATGGCTTCTTGGGCGGCTCGTAAACCGGCGACTCGAAAACTGGAGTTGATGGTGGCTTCGGTTTGTACAAAGGGGGAATTGGAGGGAAGAGCCAATGGTGCCCAAAGGGTGGCAAAGGTGGGTGCTTGAAGTATGACCAAAAGGATTTGGAAGTGCATATTGCGGCCGAAAATCGGATTTTTTCCGAAGGGGCAAAAACGTAATTTGGGCCGTCGTTTAGGGGCTCGAGGGCGATTTTAGAGGCTTCGAGTCCGTTGTGGACCGGGCAAGGGAATGCGGATGAGCTGTGCAGTTGAGCGTAGCATTCGTGCTCGAGTTTTGGCCCGTTTTTAAAGAGTTCTTTAGGGATAGAGACCTTAAAGTTGCCTCGTTTGTCTAGCTCGCTTGAGCCGACACTTTTCGTGTCTCCATTATTGAGCTTGCAGTCGATGGTCACTCGAAGACCTACGTTGTTCGTATCATAGTCGAAAGTTTTAGCCATTAGTAGGTAATTAACTTGGATAAGTAGAAAGGTAGACAATGCAAGGAGTATGAGCTAGTTGTTACAACTTACAACTAAAAAGAGTTGCATGCTACTCTTTGATAATGTAATCAACGGTTGATTAGGAAAATCACACACTCTTGCAGAAGCTTTGCTATTGTTATTATTATTCCCTTGATGATTGAAAGTTGACAAGGGGTTTTCCTTTTTTAGAAAGATTACGGCATGTTTGACTATTAAGTATTAGCAGATAACAAATAGTGATTGTATACAATGGGGTAGCTAATACAAGAAACGTACTTGGATGTCAGCGGATTAAACTTCGTTTCGAGGTTTGACTCGTCAAATCAGTTAAATAACTTGTTTGGTACATAATTATTTAATTGGCTTTTTGGGCCGAAAATAATAATTCTAAAAAAGTTCAATATACAAACATTTTGGGTAGATAGAATTCGTAAAATAACTCGACAACATAACATTTTCAAAATAACTACACAAACCAATATTTACTAGATATTCATTTTACAAACCGTTTATATAATCCGTTAGTCAAAGCGTAATAGCCAATAAGGGCCAAAATTCTAATAGCTTGTAGAATTAGTGTTGAGACCAAAAAACGAAATAAATAATTTTTTTAACCAAAGCATTTAGTTAGCATATTTGAAGGATCGAATCTGTAAATGAGGTTCAGTCTGCTGATCAGATGAGTGATATATATTAGAGTTAGTTTTCAAAATTATACCTAGAATTGGAACACTTGAAATGTAATATTTCTCATGTGGCCATACATAATATTAAGTGTGTGTGTGTGTGTGTGAAAATGTGGGTGGAATTAACAATTAAGTACCTGAAAATGCCTGACTTGTCTTGAAATTATTCTCTTTGCAATCAGCACATTCACTTGTACCAATAACCTCAAACACTGTCTTGTCACCTGCACTGCACAAACTTACTGAAACTAACAAAAATAAAGACATTAAAAATAAACCATGATTATAAGCGATATTTGCCCTCATTTTGGAACCTATTCACAATCCTTCAGTTAAATCATGAAAGCCCCAAAGGGCTTAAACAATTTACAATCAGAAGCTAATAATATTTTGAGGAATCTAATGAAAATGTTATGGAGTCTTGAATGAGTTGAGGAGCACACATTTTAGCATATGTATATATAACAGATTCTATGGGTAATTAGTTATCATTTTTTGTTTAGGTGTAATAATACCGACACAATCTTTAATGATATCACATGAGGTTAGGTCCCAATTGATCATGACACAAAATGTTTGTGGAAAACTAAAAATAAAATAATAATTAAACCAAATAAAATTGGAGGACAGAAATTACAAGAACAGCTTTTAGCAGCAAAATGTGGACACATGCACACATCTTGATCAAAATTGAATGAGGCCTCAACTGTACAGTTCATTTTCATTTTATTTTATTTTATTTTTATTTCTATTTATATGTTAACTAGCTCAATTTACCACCTCCAACTTTGGCAAAACAGCATTAACAAAAGAAACAAATGAATGAATACATAAGATATAGGTGGTTGGGTATGTTAGATATTGTTTAAAATTGAAATGCTAATAATAATATTGACAAGATTGCTTTCTACCATTTAGTATTTAACAATTTACAATTATTGATGGTCATTTCTTTTTGTTATTCACACTGCTGGGAGGCACAAAAAAGAGCGTACACAAACATATTATTACACAATTTTCTACCAAAATTTGTCCACCATTCAGTGATGATCTCAATATTCAGTAGCAATCATACTTGAATATACATAGTTAGAGTTTATTTATAATATATAATATAGGTTTTATTGGGAAAAACCTTATATTTTACACTGTTGTTTTTATATGAATGTATGTTGGTCGATCGATTAAAAAAAGTCTACTACGCAGGTTCATACGAATTTTCCATTTAACTGTCTCAATATCTTTAAATGAAGGCGGATAATTGTTCTCGCAACAACTTACTATGGTTTAGTGTGTATATTTCTTGTCTTTTTAGTTTGTTCAAAGAATACTAAGCCACATTTGAAGATATGAAGTATACAACTAAGGAAGGAAAATGCACACATATGTTTCGTTCATCGATCAAATGTAGATGAAATGTGGATGACATTTCTCCATGTTTTTGGTAGAGTTGGTAGAGTTGTAAATGCCATATGCAGGATCCTTGCTCTATTTGACGAGGTAGTTGAATCTTACGTTATGAGTTGTCATTATAATTTTGTAATTTTCAGTCGAATAATGACGTCTAGAATACCCCGGGAGGTGGAATTGATATAAAAATATCGCCTGGAAAAAAAATTATCTCAGTAAAAGTGATGAAAAAAGTGGAAAAAAACTTGAGAGAAAGAATGAATATTTTCTAATTTGTGGACGAATATAAATAAAATGCAATTATTAACATTGGTGTAATATAAAAATAAAATAATAATAATAAGAATTATACATAATTGCTAGTTAAAAGTATACGAAAATAAATATTAAATTTTGTTTGAAAACATATACTATTAATTAATATATATTTCATAATTGTGTATTTGTATTGATCAAATAGAGGAAAAAAATAAGAATATATGAAGGAATATTTTTTTTTTGGATAAAAAAAAGGTCAATAAATTATACCAAATAACAATTCTAGTTGATATAAACCTAGAACTGAGAATAGAGAACCACCATTCATATTATCACGTAAACATATACCCACCATTTATAAGAACCATATGTTATCACATAGAACTGTATATATCTCGTAGAATCGTTATCAAACCAATTCACACGCCTTCACATCCTTTTAATCGGTCACCAAATAAAACCGTGAAAAAGGTCGGTAAAAAATACTGCATTCGAGCCAGTCAATATGTTTCACCCGTCACCACACACAACAGCAAAAAGGGATCAGTAACAGTAATGTGTTCGAACCTGTCTACTGTTGACACATCACATACAAATGTTGTGTATCAAACCCTTATAAAATATTCATTCATAAAGGAAAACATAAGATAAAATTAATCCACAGCCCATGATAAGGCAAAGTACAATTCATTATATTAATCCCCGTGAATTGTGTATCTTTCCCACTTCTTCGTAGGGTCATATATCTGCAAAAGGAACAAAAATATGTTGCAAT